TGTTCATGTAACAACAAAGTGAAAGGAAGTCTTACAGAATTGTAAAAAAATAATTAAAATTAAAACCCAGCAATAAAATATAAAAAATATAATAAAATATTTCTATATTTATGTATTTATTTATTATTATTACTTTTTTCTGTGTGGAAATGCAGTTGAAAGCTTTGTCAGTAAGCTCAGCTGGAATGATGCATTTATGTACTGTCATTACATAGCTCATGAATATAGTTCTGTTTTCCAGCCTCCTCGTGTGGCTCAGTGCTGCTTGCAGCTCCCCGTCCCCTTTCTCCCCCCTGAGGTCGACCACCACTAATTAAATCTCAACCTGTGGGAAAAACTCAGTGGTTATGCATAAATAACCGTTCATTCATATTTCAGAACAGCAGCCATCTTGCCTGCTGGAGAGCTCTGACATGTCGCTGGCGTATAATCTGTCTGTGATTGGAGACCTGAACCTTTAGCTGCCCTTCAGGGTCACTGGCTGGTCACACTCAGCCTCCCATATACAGATTACATTCTTACCTGTTCATCAGGCTTATTTTGTTCACCATAACAACATAGACATACATTTACATTTTTATTTTATTTATTTAATTTGAATAGATTCATGAAACTTGATGGATAATGGCGTACAGTGGCTGGCTCTTGATTTGGCTCGCCCTAATCCTTTGGGAATTATAGGATCCCGTTTTAGCCATTAGTTGAGCTTGTGTCTTGTGTTGTTATCTAACTCATCTTGGTTGAGAAACACCTCCTAAAAACCTGAAAGTGAGAGAGGCAGTGAGAAGGGTGGAGATGGGGACATTTCAGGATAGCAGTTATTCTCAGGGGATAAGGGGTGGAGGCAGTAGAGGGGAGTGACCACAGGCCATTTCACCAGGCTAATGGGATGGGAATCCCTGGCAGCGGGGGCCGGTCGGAAGGGATTTAATGTGGGATTCTGCAGATGACATTGGAGCTGGGTGGATACTATCAATTTAAAACCAACTATCTTCCTCCACAGATAAAAATAAAGCTCCACATGGCTCAGGATTTTCTTCTTGTTCTGCTATTATTTGTTGTTTCAAGAGGGTTGAGTCCTCAGTGAGGTCTCAGACTGACATGCTAAATGCATGTGGCTTTGATTTAATTGGAACCAGCTGCAATTATCGGTGTTAAAACACCACTCAACACGCAAAATCTGCCTGCTCTTATCCGATAATGTGTTTTTAGAGCTGTTGACAAAGACCCTCACAGACTTTTACTTAGACAATAAAATTTTTGACCCCCACACTGAGCTCCTCCAAAAAAACAACTGAGCAGCATATACTGTAACATCTGCAGTCTTTGCTTAGAGGTTTAAAAGAGAGATAGAGAGACATTATTGTCGCATACAGCAGGATGCCTCAACAAATTACTGCTAATCTGGACAATGTTAAAGTTCGGTCCAATGATATAATACATTTTTTTTTTAAACCAGTAAGCTTTGGACACTGAGAGGATTATTTGCTTTGTTTATCACAATACACAGCTCTTAATGGTGCACAGTATGATGACTATGCTGTAATCCCTTGTTATCTCTTCATGTCTGACACATACAACACATACACATACACACACTCGCACAAACACGCACACACACGCACACACACGCACACACACACACACACACACACACACACACAGAGAGAGAGAGAGAGAGAGAGAGAAAGACATACTTTTGTTTGAGGTACACTTGAGAGGATGTCTAAGTCATAGTCAGTCAGTCAGTCATAGAATGTTATTTAGCAAGGATTTAGCAGGAAAAGGCGCTATTGGTAACATTAGTCACAGGTCTGCCGGGAACTGTGGATGGTAGCTTAGTGGAGATTGAATGAAACTCATTACAGTAATTAAAACCTTTCCACACCTGTTTTTTCATCCTGCACAATGAGCATTAAGGATGCTGCAATGCCTATTCACCTTTGGGAGCTTACTGTTGGACATAATCATCTTGTTCAAGTCATATCATAATGAACATGTGCATGTGGGTGTTATTTTTTTAAAGTGTGGCTGATGTTGTTGCCACAGCAACTGCCCTAGCTGGCTTGTGAGGCAGTGTGGGGATTGAAGGCAACCCCCTTTACCCTAATCAGCCCTGCTTCTCTTTCTCTTTCTGAGCGGCAGACTTCAGTCGTCCCCTGAATGGATGATGGGGGAGGGTCTCTTGCTTTGAAGGGGATATGGGTGGTGTTGATGGTTGGGGGTGGGTGCGCGGTTTAGAGTTTGGGGTTTCGGACGAGTGCCACATCCTGTGCGTGAGCTTGAGAGCAGACAAAGAGGGTGGAGATGGAGGAAGTGACAACTAAAGAGGGCATATGTGTCTGTGAGAGACTGAGTGGGAGGAGAGAGAGTGAGGGAGGAGAGATCAGTGGCAGAGAGGATGCTCACTGGGAGTGTGCGGCAGTCTAAAGAGCTGAGAGTGAGGCCAGCAGGTGAACAACTGATGGAAAGCAGCAAGTGAGCTGACTGAAGCTGGAGAGGGAGACGTGAGTAAACGGAGACAAGCAGAGAGAGAGAGAGAGAGAGAGAGAGAGGAGATAACTGTGAGAGAGAGGGAGGGAGTGGGAGTGAAACGCTTAACTAGAGGAGAAGCATAGACTGTGAGTCATCTGCCGAGTGCTGGTCACTGTCCGGACTTCCCTGGGAGCGCCCAGCGTACAGCTGCCACTGTTTGAGTAAGTTTGCTGCTCCGCTCCACGCAGGACATCGGGTCGCCCAGATGACAAGATGTGACCTCTTCACACAGCTGATTTCTGTGGTGCATCGCTAACCAGCTGGGGTGTGTTATGTAATTTGTTGTGGTGTTGGGATGAAGCTGTGGCTTAGAGCTGCAAACTGATCTGCAGGAGGGCTTACATGGAAACACTGTACACAGAGCAGGCAGGTGTGTGTGTATAAACAGCCATCTGTAATCTGTGCTGCACAACATGCTTGTGATGAAGGACCAGTTTGTAATTGACTGGACCGGACATTCCTTCTGTCACTTTTACACTCGTGTGTGTTTTCATGCTGTTAGAATAGGATATAGAGGGTTTATCTTGTAGCCTATTTATGTCTTCATTATTTACTGCATGTTTTGTACTGTATTACTGTATGTACAACACACTTTTTAATATAAATCAATATCTATATTTAAACCAACTGTTAGAAATGAAAGCATTTTCTTTCCTATAAATGCATGTGTGTTTGTGTGTGTTGTCTGTGTGTGTCTTGCATCCATCTATTGTGCATCAGTTCTAATTAAGAGTTCAGGGCAGCTGATGCCCTATCGTGTCCTGTTCTCCCATGGGAGAGCTGCTGCTGGGGCTCTTTCATGTTTATTGAGCCTGCTGAGAAAGTGTCCATATTCACAATTGTTCCCATTTCATGTGGATGATGCAGGAACTTCTTTGACTGAAGATTCACTCGTTGTGTAATAGCAGGCAGCGCTGTATGTTAATGATTCACGCTCTCTTTTCTTCACCTATATTTGATTCTGAGTGCACTGCTTGAATGAAAAACAGATTTCAATTTTGGTCACTGTCCCTCTTGTTTGTCTTATCTACATCCTCAGCACCAGACCAGCACAGCTCCTTACATTCACTCAAGTTATTACTGTTCCAGCACAGACAGCCACACTATCTGCTTGAAAAATAATTAGTTTTTCGAGTTCAAGAGTTGTCCATTTTGTCTCATTGAGTTATTGAATGCATTGAATAATATTTGAATGTGAAGCTTGGTGTCTTTTGGCTGCTGGAGTACACTGCACCTTGTATATACAGAAATATAATACATATTTCACTATGGCTGCCTTCTTTGATCATCACAGAGAACATGCATTTTTCACTTTGCATCATCACAGCTAATGATCATTTCATATTCGCTTTCATACTGGTCGATCACTTTGTGTGTTTGAAATAGATTGGATTAATCAAACAAATTGAAAGCCTGCTGTGCAAACTGGCTGGTTGTCAGTGTCAATAGGACGCCATATTCAGCAGGGTTATCGATCAGTGATCCTGTGGGGATAAAGCTGTCCTGGTAGAGATATTGAGTTTAGAGCAAAGGATGCGTGACAGTAGTATTGCTCAGCTTTGCATTAGGAATGTGTTATTCTCCTGGGTTTGAGAGGGGAGATGCTCTGTTTGAATAAATGTGAAACTATGGGTATTGTGTCCCTAGATCCCTGAAGTGTTTCAGAATAGTGGCTTATACACCAAAAGAGATGAATCTGCACAGAGGACTATGCATTGATATCATTCGGCAATGATGTTCACAGTGAAGAAATCATATATTATTACGAGTGTTATAATAATATATTGTCAATTATTACCTAACTTGTACGTCCCTAGAGAGTTATATGAGTAACAGTTTAGTTAGTTCATTTTATTTACTTATAATGAATTAATTTATTGGTGAGGAAAGCATTCAGGCACCAGGGTTAATTTTATATCACCAGGGTACTACAGATTAGATAAAACAGATGATTCCCAATGAGAAAATAAAGGACAGCTACTGTTCTTGAACTGATTGATAGAGGTCTTAATTTGACCTGTATTCACTGCTTTGTACACTGTTGTAAATTAGAAGTCCTATTTTGTGTGTCAGAAACTATGTCAGATTTTTCCACTTTATGTGCTTCACTTTCTAGAGAGAAAGAGAAAGAAACCATAATTCTAATAACAAGAAACCCTCTCGCTGGGCTTCAGGCCATTGCAGAGTCTCAGACCAGCAGTCCATACAAATTCATTCTGTTGCTAAATGAGACCAACAACATGTCCCGAGGCAGTACCTTTGGATGTCCTCTTGCTTGATCTCAAACTGAGTGACCTTTTCTGACTGAATGTTCTCTTGCATCTGTCTGATTGTAGGAAACAAGATGGGAATGACCCCCGAATTTCTGCAACACTAGAGCCCCAGCTGTTCCAGCCTACACTCCCATACACCACCTCACCATTCCACAAGGTAGGAGGAGAACGAGGGGGGTTGAGTTTGCACTTTGACCCCTGACCTTATCCGATGGACCTCTCTGTGACCTTTCTTTCAGCAATTTTTGTTAGGTGTCTCTGCTCGTCTTGTCTCTACACCTGCTTCTGTCTGGATCATTGGTCCAGATGCACTTCCTCAGAGTTCTGTCTATATTTAATCTCTCATGACCATGTTAGACTTTCTGTTTGCGGTTACTTTGATTTTTATTCTTGTCTTCTTTTGTTTAACTTACGTAATTAGAGTGCACAGAGCTCTGTGTCTGGGACGATTATGTTTGCCTGATTCAATTTATACAAATCTATTTTTAGCCGAAAAATGTCAGCTTGACGCTGACGGTTTCTCAATTCGAGCTTAGCAAGTCTGATTCCATCAAAGCAAACAAAATACAGCCTGTCTCAGCAATTGTCATTTTTTAATCAAAAGAAAAACTTCTTCGCCCCCACCATCATCCAAGATAATCGTCACCAAATTGGAAAGTCAATCTTTTTCAACCACTCTTTGTCTGGGGTTCAATTGTTATCCAGTTTTACTTCAATGTCAGCTAAATATAATCAACTATTTTGGCAGGCTTTTTTTTAAAGATAAGCAGAGATTTCTGCTGCTAACGTGTGTTTTTTAGCTTGCAATATATTTTCTGGAGTTCACTTTGTAAGATTCATTGCAACGGGGGCCCATTCAATTTGTCTCCAGTTCACTTGGAACAGTTTTCAATGATTTTACAAGATTTTCAGCCTTCATGAATCGGTTTAGCTTGATCTATTCTTCTTCTTGTCAGAGAAATTCATATGAATAAAGAATGAATTGCTGTGGTTATAGATCCAGAATATAAAGGGCAGAAAGTGGAAGTGATTAAGGAGGAAATCATTTCAGTAAATCTATTTAGACTGTCACAGTAACTATTAAATCCATCTCGCTGTCAGAATATTCATGTCTACCTTTTGGCTCGTCTTATCATTATAAACGAGCGACTGACGTGAAAAACCTCTCTGGGATATTTTGGGAACTTAGAAACAGAACAAAGCTGAGCTTGATGGTGATTAAAACAGGATACAATCTCACTCACGTCAGATTGGTTTCATAAGGTCTCTCCCACTTTGGAAGGGGGTTTATACTTCTTCAAATCTGACTTGATCTGAGCAGAGCAGAGGGAGTGGGAGGAGAAAGGGGATTAAAGGAGAATTTGGAGATTGGGTTGTTTAACCGTCACTCCTGATCCCTGCAGCACACACCATCTGTAGGTGCCTCAGACTTACTAGTTACAATTAGTCAGACATGAGGATAGGATTTGTGAAACGTCTGTGTGGTACAGATTTGCATGACATGGAAGAAGCCACTAAAGGCACCAATGAAGGTATTCCAGACTTGGTTTATAGCATTTTCCCCATTTTTATTCACATTCAGGAATACCAGAAAAGTGCATTACACATCTGTTTGTAATTGCACAGAAGAAAACATTTACTTTACTACACTCTAAAAGGTGCCAGCAGCAGTTAAAATACAGTTGTGTTTCATATTTGATCTTTGTAACCCCATTTTATTCAACCCCCTTTGATCTGGAATCCAGGAAAGGAACATATCTGATCTGTTAATGTGATGTACTGCAGTATGATATGGGCTTAGTGGGGCAATACTTAGAGGATGGTATCACTTTAATCAGAGCCATTCGAAAACCAGGTCAATCTGCAATTAACCCCACTAGGTCTTATGGTCACTGCCTAATTCACACCACACTGCTATACTGTCATATTAACAATGTTGCATATTTATGTGAGAGGAAACACAAACAGTGAGTTTGCAATGCAGTCCCTCACCACAACCTGATTAAAAACAAAGCATGTATCTTAAGGCAGTTATGAAATTCTAGTAACCCTGTGCGCGATCAAATAGTTTTGAAACACATTTAACACAACCGCTTCAGGATACACACACATGTAAAAGCCATACATGGTCCAGTGATAATGGACAGTGTTGGCTCAATGTTTTGGGGTGGAGCTCTTAGTGCAGACATGGTTTTGTCTTTCATGTTACCAGAAAATCTGTTTTTCTCAGAAGTTACTACATCAGTCGGGCTGAATTCTTAATAGCGCTCCCTAAATTTGTGATGACAGTGAGTTCCTAAATAATCCTAAATAAGCTAACTAGAAAGCAGAACTAAGAACCCGATATGCTGTGCATCAAAGAAAAAGACAAAAATATAATCCCTGATATTCTTGGAGCTGGTCAAAGTTATAATGAGCTCTGTGAGTTGCACCTGAGAAGTCTGGAGGAGAGAGGAGGTCTTACATGTTTAATTTGCCTCTTGTCATAATGATGATCCTATTAGCTCTCTTAATAAAAAGGTCTTAGCTCTAACACCTGCACTGTATGCTAGCCTGACTCCCTATGGCTCACCACATCTCCTCAGATGAAATGTTAAAATGAGATGTCTTGTTTTTTTTTCCTCAAATCATTTCTGTTTGTCTCTACTTTCTTTCCATTGCGGTTTGTTTATCCAGATTCCTTTTGTCTAGATGTTTGTCTCCTTTACGCTGTTCATCTTCTCATTTTCCACATTATTCTGTTCCTAGCTGATGATCTCCTAATTCACTCATTGGATATTTTCGGGGAGTTAAGTATAGTGAAACTGCCCATAGATCCTCTGTAAACAGGACTTGTTCAAGGACTTGTTTATGGGAGTAGAAGAGTTGGACTCCACCTTTGGCCATCTGTCACCCTAAGCCAAGATAGGGATTGCGATCACAACTGAGGTGGATGATGTGTGGTTTGCATTTCTTCCTGCAATGCTACACAGGGAGAGTGACAAGGAGGGATCAGCACAAGACAAGACACCTCTAGGTGCAGTCAGAGGATTACTACTCCTCTCTCAATATCAGCTGCCTTTGCATGCAACCTGAGACTTGCTGATAATTTTGTATGTTTAGAGCACACACTGGGAGAGTCTGTGGATCTAAACTTTTTCTGATCCAACACTTTTCCAGTCATGGTTGCAGTTAGCAGGGGTGCAGCTTTACCTCTGGTATCACAGGCACACAGTCAACTGTCTGCAGTTTGACAAAGGCACAGCAGTCAGAGAGCAAGTTTAATCCAAACCTGTTGAAGTCAATCAAGTCAAAACATCTTCTGAAGCTGCAGGACGCCGGTTTAAGGAAAGTTTAAAAAATGGCTGAAAATCATGACAACCACTTCAGTGCTCCAACGATGACAAAGGCACACTGGAAGAAACCCAGCCGTGTAAGTAGCTTTACTGTAGAAACATGCTGGATGGAAAACATCACTAGATGGCAAACTAGAGAGGGTATTTGGCAGCATTTTCAGCAGCAGAGGCTTGGACAACTGCCTCTCCAAATTGAGATTAAAGTTGCTAATGCAAAACCTGACAGTTCACGTTGCTTGTGTATCGAAGTGATGAGCTGAAGAAAAATGTATGTTTGCAGTGGAACATTTCTTGTTCTATTATTAGTGTTTCTTTTAGTGTAAACGAACAGGTAACCTTACAACATTTGCTCAGACATACCCATGCTTTTTATGGCTGTATATCACAGCATAAAATTTTATGGCAAATGCAGTTGTCGTTTAAGTCCGAAGATATTATGTAGCTCAACACTACAGCTTCTATTACCCTAATCTCTGGTTAATGTTGTCGAAGCCAGTGTTATTTACTTTCAGGGTTTGTGGCAGACTATTGTTTGCACATGGTGGAGGACTTTACTCATACTCACACTGAAAGCTAAGACAAGATTGCTCTGTACACAAACTGTTTGACTCTGTCAGGCTTTACTGGCTGAACCTTTCAGCCTTCACTTGACTACTCCAGTCCGACGTTTCCATGGACTGTTGTAATTCGGCATTTTTTGGCCGTAGTTAGAGTGTGTGCTCAACTGATGCATGGGATCTAAAGTATTAGGAGGGTGTTTAATATGGAAAAGCCGGTTGGTCACACATGATTGTTTAATAGACAAACCACAGGCGAGAGGCAAGAGATCATATGCTGCAATCAGGTAAAATTTATTTTGAAATAAGAGATTGGATAGAGATAGAGATGGTATGGTTATGGTTAACCAACTTTACATCACATGCTGAGCAGTTTTCCCCGAATTACAATGTCAATAATAAGAATTTTTTAAAGCAGGTAATCATAATGCTCTGTTTGGGGTCCTGGAAACACGCGGGCCTCTTTAACAGCTCAGAACACACAGTTAACACTATTTTATCACCTTGAAATGTGTTAAATATTCCTGATTTTATATCAATTGTTGACGAACATGAATTTGAGTCTTGTTTTTTGGTGTTTTAGAGCTGGTTCATGAGGAGTCTAACAAAGAGTTAAACCTTGCTGTGGTCTTACTGACCCCAAATATAAGTAACGTCACTATTTAGAATTATACTGTATTTCTTGAATGCACTGACTTTTTGAAAAACGGTAAAAAGTAATAGTTGTTCATGCATAACCCTTATATAATACATGAAATAATTCTTTATTTGGTGTTATAACAATGCTTTCTGGTCATTTTGTTATTTTGTTATCTTCATCAAATGTCCAAGGCAAGTTTGTGGCAAAGGGAAAGGTTACCACTTCAATCATTTTCTACATATTACGTTTTAATAAGGTCAGAAGAAAAACCTTTAAAGGCAAAAAAAATCACAATAGAACTATTCCCGGCCTCATCGTACTTTAGAGCGAGCACCAGATGTCCAAGGGCACTGTCCACTGAATAGTAATGAAAGTGTTCCTGAAGGCATAGTGCAGGGATACAGCCATTAGTTTATGTCATAAACAGACACAGAACACAATAAGGAAGTAAGGTCAACAAAATACAAGGCTTAAAAATCAAATGACTTTATTTTTCTGTCACTGGATGGCATGTGATGGGCCTCCACATAATACATGCTGAGCAGGGTTGAACTGTAACAACAGACTCACTGCTGTAGAAATAAATGAACCTCAGCACCCAACAAACAAACATTAAACATTTTAATCTCACTCTCCTCTCTCCAGACTACAGATTTATTTGAAATGATTGAAAAGATGCAGGTAAGATGATGCATTGATCTTTTTTTATTTTGTTTCGGCTTCCTAAGCTGTACTCACAAAGCAACTAACCAGTCAGTGTATCTCTTCCTAATTCTGCGGCACTTTGGCCCTCTCCTTGGCTACAATTACTTCTTTACATTTTGCACATGAGAAGGATATTGTGTCTGTGGTTACAGAGGAGAGCCGTCAGAGCATTATGTGTGTGTCTCGGCGTATCTGTCAACATTCTGGTTGTAACGCTGGCTGGCAATGCTGTAAGCTTGTTATCTCACCTTAAGAAACTGTCTCCTGGTTTCTGAAACCTTTAGAAAGGGTGATTATTTTGGGGCTTTAAGAGTTTTATGATGGAGTACATTTTGGTCATTGTTTTCAAAAATTAATAACAGTCATAATAGCTTTGACGTCTGGCCGTGTACGTTGGCATAACTGAATATTTTAAAAAGAAATATTCCTCTTTAGCAGGAGTTGTGATGCAGGACTCTGTTTTTTCCTCAATACATTGATATGACGTATCATCTTCCTTTGCACCAGGCGCCATCACCTAGCCCTGATTTAGTATCATTGCATCTCTTTTTCTTCATCATTCCCATTCACTCTCTTTCACACATACACACCTCATGTCCAAAGGGTGTTTCAGTGTCACTTAGTTCAGCATCCCCTTAATCCCTGCGGTCTCATTACCACACTTCTTCTGTATGCTAACAGACTTTTCAGTCACTCCCAAATGCCTGCTCTTTAGCATCCGTTAATTGTCTATTTCGGTATCCGCTCGCTGTCATGTATCTCTTTCTCTATCTTTCCATCTGTCCCTCTCCAACTTTGCTGCGTTGCCTGCTGCATACCTCTTGGGATATCACTGTGCTGTTATGTAATGAGGTTGATAATTTACTCCCGGTTTGTTTTGTTGCAGTCATTTAGAACAGACTACTTTATGTGGAAGTCTAATCAACGACAAATGTATTTGTGTTGAATTTTTTTCAATACAAAGGCAGCTGCTGTGTTGACAACTGATCGTGACCCTTCTCCCTCTCTCTCTGGTTTTCTTATCTCACCCTCTCCTCTCATAGGGGAGCAGGATGGATGAGCAGAGATGCACCTTTCCTCCCCCACTCAAGGTACGATTCTCCACGTAGAGACAGTATTATTCACGGGATGCGGTCATTGTCTCAACGACAGCTCCACCATATCTTTCTCTGCCAGACAGGCTGATTACTTCAGCATACTGTAGCACAGTTTTATTCATAATGCAGTGCAATATGATGTTGATGTAATGAGGTTTTTTAAACCATCAATGTGCCTAATAATGACAAAACTTTGATCAAGCATTGCATTGATTCCTAGTTGGTTACCAAACTGATTTTAATTACATAACAGTTATGCAATTACTCTGAAACAGTGTCTCTTGGGATTATAGACTTGGACAGTGTGGTTATTTTTAATCTTTGATGAGGAAACAAAGCTGTTTTTCCCTATTTTTTGCAGACTGAGGAGGACTACATTCCATACCCAAGTGTCCATGAGGTAGGATGATAATGTGCAGCAGTAGCACTTTTCACCATGTTTGTGTAATCAGTTTAATTTAATTTGTGTCCTGAAATAACTTTCACATTTACACCATTCTGTTTCTCAACCCTTGTTGTCTTGCATTTTGGGACAGGTGTTGGGCAGAAAAAGCCCCTTTCCTCTCATCCTCCTGCCACAGTTTGGGGGTTACTGGATTGAAGGAACAAACCATGAGCTGAGTGACACAGTGGACACGGAACCGCTGCAGCCTCTGTCCCCAAACACCCGCACCAAGCTGGAATGTAAAACAACAGCTACAATCTACCGGAAGCACTTCCTGGGCAAGGTTATTATACATTTTAATTGTCATCTTGACAAAGCACAAGCTAAACTGAAAAAAATGCAATATTTCATGGATGCATTGCCATGACTTTTGAAACCATAATTTATTTATAAGGGTCAAAGCAGAAATTATAGAGAGATTATATATACATTTTTATATAAATATTTATAATTATAACACTGAATTTCTGTTGGCATTCGACCAAGTAATACAAACTGTGCTACATTAATTATAAGCTAAATTATATCGACCTTGTAAGATTAATGCACTGCATCTGTATTTCCCATGAGTTTTCTCTCCAGAAATTAAATGCAGTAGTTGTGTTGTTCTGCAAATTTTCCCCCATCGCTGATTAGTTAAACATTTCCTGGATTGCTTTCCCATCTTATCTTAGCTTGTACAATTTCATCTTCATCATGCAGTTAAATATAATGATAGTAACATCATGTTATTTAGCAATATAGTCAGTTCTACACTTTTTTAAAACAGTATGTTCTGCTTTCAAAGTGATATTACTGAAATTATACTTACTAATAATAAGTAATGAAACAACTAAGCAACAAGCAATCCCAGTTGAGTAAAGCACTTACAGCGACCAGCCTCACTGTTTGGCACCTCATACACTGTTGCTAATGAAGATGCATTAGGCTTTGCCACCTGTTCTTACACACGATAATATGAACAAATTTGATCTGCTTGTAGTAGAAGAGCAACAGAAGAAGAAAAGGTACTCAGTTTGGAACGATATGGGTAATGACTGGAGCCCATGCACATGTCTCATGTACTCTGTTTATGACTGATACTAATGGCTGTATCCTTGCTCTGTGCCCTCAGGAACACTTTAATTACTATTCAGTGGACAGTGCCCTTGGACATCTGGTGTTCTCTCTAAAGTACGACGTGATTGGTGACCAGGAACATCTCCGTCTAATGCTCAGGTTATTTAATAATTATGCATTCATGGTGCACCATAATGTTGCTTAATTTACAGAGAAAATCTGGCAGTCTGATGTCTGATCAACAAGGAATAAATGCACATTGTTTTGTTCCTAAAATGCCTAATGTTGACTGGATAAACACATCCTCCCAGCATGGGCGTTATCATAAGAGTCATAAAGCTGGAGAGAGTGTCAACAACACTGTCATTCCCACAGCAGAGTAACAGATGGACTATTTAGGCCAGCAAGTGGGTGGGGATGGATGGAGGGAGGGAGGGAGAGAGAGAGAAGGCAAAGAGAGACATGGGTGGGGAAGTTTGATGATGGTCCAAACCGGATCATCTCTTTCCCATCTGATAAATTCTGAGAAACGTTGCATCACATTATATGGCTTTCAAACCACACTGATTGTTTTATGACTTCACCAGAAACAAGATGAAAACCTACCATGATGTGATCCCCATCTCCTGTCTGACAGAGTTTCCCAATGTGGTCCAAATGGCCAAGGTACGAAGAGCTTTTTTTTTATAATGCAGAGATTGATCAGCTGTGAGTGTCTAACCACATTCTGACATTTATCTTTCTCTTTTTTCAAATCCAAGCTTGTCTGTGAAGAGGTCAACGTGGACCGCTTTTTTCCTGTCCTTTATCCAAAAGTAAGATCTGGTTTGGTTTGTATTGTTTGCAGCTGCTGTATATGCTCTTTCCAGGCCCACACATCAAACAATTTGAAGCATAGGGTTGCAATTTAGACCACTGAAGCCTCATATTAGCTTCAGATCAACTTTTAAATACATTTTTGCATAAGACGAGCATTGTGTATTTTGTTACCCATCACTAGGAAGACTTAACTGCCAGTATGAATAAGAAAAATCATGTTCATATGGTCACCTGACTTGTTTTAATTGTTTAATTCTAAAACTGTGAACCTATCTTTTAATATATACTTTTTTTACAGGCTTCAAGACTTATTGTCACCTTTGACGAACATGTGATAAGCAACAATTTCAAGTTTGGGGTCATTTATCAAAAGTTCGGACAGGTGAGCTATAAAGCCTGCTGTTGTAGAAGTGCATGCATCCTTTATATTCATTGTGTTCAGTCCATGAACAATGATAATATACAATTCATTGTAATTTCTGATTTCCTCAAGGAAGCTGATTATCCCTCAGTCTCAATTATGGGCTTTCAGTCCAACCCGGTCACTGCGGCTGTCTTTATCACTCCCTCTCATTTTCTGAGGCAATCACAGCCCTTTTGTTTACTATGTGGGGGGCAGAAGAGCTATTGAATGCTTTGCTGAGGGCACTTGTACCTTAGAATAAAGACCTCAGTGTGTTGAGTTCTGTGTTGATCCCTTTAAGCCTGCAATAGTTTACATTGTTAAATACACTGTAAATGAGCCATGGGCCGTGTCAAAGAAGGCCCTCTGCTCACGCTTCAGGACATTTCTATTCATGAGGGGTGCTAAGTGAAAGGCATGATGGTTAAGTAGGAATATTGCATATGTAAAACAAAACAGAAATACTCAATAAGCTTCTTCTCATGCATTGTTTCTTTGTGTTTGTGTTGAGGCAGGCTTTTGTGTTCACATCACCACTCCACTTGCCGACAGTAAATAATGAACAGTCTATCACAGCTGATCGTTATTGCACAAGCTTTCCTAAAGCCCATTCTGTTATACCTACTGTTGTAATTGATTATAGCCACGTGTGTAATCTCAAATGGAAATGCATTGTGTTTGAACAAGAGTGCCAAACACAATGCACTTTCTTGCATCCACTTATTGACCCTAATGATCTGCTGAAGTAAAAGCACACCTTACATAAAATACTCATTGTGCCATTGCTGGCACTCTAGTGTGTAAATCTTAACTCTTGTTAACAGTTTTCATTTTGCCTCTCAGACATTGTCATAATATAGTCATAAGTGCCATTATTACTGGATGCTAACATTGTAATGACCAGTACAAAATATACTGTTCAAATCCTTCCCAACACTTTTAACTTGTGGATGCTGAAATCATTTTGTTCTCCAAGCCTTGATGTTTATGTATTTTTTTACTGGTAACAGACTTCAGAGGAAGAGCTGTTTGGCAACAGTGAAGAGAGTCCTGCCTTTGTAGAATTCCTGGAGTTTCTAGGAGAGAAGATTGAGCTGCACAACTTTAAAGGGTGAGGATCTAAGTGTGGTTTGAAGGCACTTAATATACTTGACCATACATTTCATAACAGGATGCCTACCACAATTTACATTATATCAGGCTAGCAACAGGATTGATGGTCATGCTACTGCAGTGATGGTGGAGAATATCTTGTTAGACATGGTTCTGTGTGCTTGCAGTTTTCGTGGAGGGTTAGACGTGACTCACGGGCAGACTGGCACTGAATCAGTCTACTGCAACTACCGCAACAAAGAGGTCATGTTCCATGTGTCCACAAAGCTGCCTTACACAGAGGGGGACACCCAGCAGGTACTCTAATACAATACCAGACTAACACACCTTTTATAATTCACTACAAGCTGTCAGACAGGTTCCCTCTGGGTATCGTAGTACCATATTTTGCATGTAGGTCCCACCTGTGCCAAACAACCGCAGTGCACATTTGCAAAAAAAAGAGAGAGAAAACATTAGAAGTAAACATAAATCACTTTAAATGTATGTTTCAGCAGTCCCTCCTCACAGTGATATAAAGCTGAGATGCAGCGCCATGTTGCTCATACAACCATGTCTTCCTCCTTCTCTCTTTGACATATTCACATAAACACAGATTAATTAGTGCAGGCTCACACACCATTTGCTATCGTGGTTTGTGCAAACACAGATGAGGCAATGTCTACATGTTCAGTCTCCCCAGCAGTAAAACATAGGCTCCTTTGAGCCAGTCTGTAGTTATTCAGGCCTTCGTCGGGTAAAACAGCACTCCCTGGTGGTTTTTCACAAATTCACATGCTTTCAATTGTGAGATGTGAAGAAAGAAGAATGAAGAATGAACACTTTATTATTTGTAATTTACATGGTTCCCAATACCTAATTTGCTAGCTTTGTGTTGTCTTTTGTGTTAAAAAAAATGTTTCTTTGTAAAGTATTCTTTGAATTGGACTAGGCTTTATCAACAATTAGGGACTGCAGCAAAAGGGTCTCTTACTTATTGTCTTTCAAATTCAATTCCAACATTAAATATGTCCTGAAACATCATAGATTTTCTGCAACCTGCAGATAACAAATAACATTCTTACATATCATTCAATGCTTGGGATCAGTATCCTTTCATGTTACAGTAACTGTCTTGAGAGAAGCATACTAGATGTACCTATAAATTAATCTGTCATAAGTTGATATGTGGCTGGTGTGTTGCAGTTGCAGAGAAAACGTCACATAGGGAACGACATTGTGGCAATTGTATTCCAAGAGGAGAACACTCCCTTTGTACCGGACATGATCGCCTCCAACTTTCTCCACGCCTACGTTGTGGTCCAAGTGGTCAACCCCTGCTCTGACAATGTTCTCTACAGGGTAACTTATTTCCCTCATGGTTGACTTTGCTTCCTGTCATAAACACTACATTAAACCTCATCTTACTCTTAATTCGTAGGTGTCAGTGACAGCACGGGATGATGTACCTTTCTTTGGCCCAGCCCTCCCAAACCCGGCTGTCTTTAAAAAAGTATGTTTTTAAAAGTGACTTGTAGACCTGAACTACTGTTTCCTCTAGCCAGTGCACTTTCCTCCTGTTGGTCATCATTTAGTTTCTAATATGAGGGCTGGTCTCCTTGTTCCTCTCTTTCCAGGGCCCTGCATTCCATGAATTCCTTTTTACTAAGCTCATCAATGCAGAGTATGCCTGCTACAAAGCTGAGAAATTTGCCAAATTAGAGGTGAGTTGTTGAAAAGCATTTAAAACATTTCTGTCATTTTGCCAGAACCATGCAAAATATCCTTTGTTTCCCTTTCTTTCATTTCCCTCTTTTTGTGTGTGTGTATGTGTTTGAGGAACGAACGCGGTCAGCCTTGTTAGAGACCCTTTATGAGGAGCTCCACTTGAACAGCCAGGCCATGATGGGTATTGGAGGAGAGGACGACAAACTGGAAAATGGGAGTGGAGGAGGAGGGGGCTTCTTTGAGTCCTTCAAGGTAACTGGAGAGGCAGGAGCAGAAGCCGAGGCTTCAAACTGACAGCTTCCCTTGCTGCAACTCTCTGCTTCCAAAAAACAAAAAGAGTATGACAATAAGTAAAAGAAATGTGCTACAACATGTTCTTTGTAGTGATTTAATTTCTATATTTTGCTTACAATACCACAAATATAGGAGCACTGTTTTTTTTTTTACAAAGACTGAAATTGTAATTAAAGTTTAGATTTACCTTAATTAAAGAAGTAGTTTGACATTTTTGGAAATACAGTTATCTGCTTTCTTACTGAGGGTTAGATGAGAAGATAGATACCACACTAAATAGGAAGCTACAGCCAGCAGCAGGTTATCTTAGTTTAGCATAGAGACTGGAAACTGGGTAAGACAGTGGCTCAGAGCTTCAGACAGAACCCACATTGCTCACTGAAAAACACACAAATTGTCGTTTTTTACACTTTGGCTTTTGTATAGATGGAACAAATTACATAGCCAAATTACAAGCCAGCCAACTATCTCCACCCCCTTGTTTCCAATCTTTATGCTAAGCTAAGCTAAGCCGCAGATGGCTGTAGCTTCTATAGTGGACACATTTGAGAGTCCTACTGATCTTCTTATCTAATGTTCAGGTACAGGGCAAAAAAGCACATTTTCCAAAATGTCTAACTATACCTTGAAGTGTTATAGTAAGACTATAAAAGTAATTGTTACTGACTGCTTTACTGCTATGAACAGTATAAAATTGGCATCAACAGTAGTTACAATAATCAATTTTTGTACCAGCTGTCATATTTTTCTCCTGTGGATGTAAAAAAGGGTGTCTCCTTTCTGGTAGTCTTTCAGGATTGCTCTTGTCTATATGCAAGCTGTGGGATGTAAGGGCTTTGTCAGTCTCCCTCAGTCTCTATCAGTCTGACTGAAGAGAAGCTCTGCTGCTTAGTCCTGCTGGAACACACCACTCTTTACTTTCCAGCTTTTCTTCCCCTTGTTTCCTAGCTGTTTTGTGCTGCTGTGCTCTGCATGCTCCAGTGTTTAGACACTGGTCACTTATTGATATGATTCTGTCATCTCTGTATGTCATAATATCAAAGGGAACGGATAGATTTCTTTCACCATCAGATGCCTTTGCCTCTATACTCTGCTCCACGCCTGCAAAGAGGTACACTGGGCTTTAAACTTCTCCTGGCTGTGTTTAAACTCAGCGTGGTCAGACATCTGTTCGCCCTTCTACTTCCCCTCTCTTCTCTTACCACCTATCTACACATAATGACTCATCTGAACCCCCCTCCGGGCACTAAAGCTTAGCAGTGTTCTCTGTCGCTTCCTTGTCTGTCAGGATTAGCATCAACCCAGCTCTCTCTGCCTGTAGTGGTCAGTGTTCAGGAACCGCCCTGAGGCTCCTCTTGGCCTGTAATGCTGTACAGCGATGCTGAGGGGTCACAGGGGTCAGTGCCATCTGAATGTATCTCCTCCTCCTCGTCTCTCTGTAGCGGGTGATCCGCAGCAGGAGCCAGTCTATGGATGCCACGGGTCTTACTTTCAAGAAGCCGCACACAGTCTCCACTAGCCTCAGCGGCAGCTTTAACCACGACCCCGCAGAGAGCCCCAAATTCCCAGGGATAGTAAGTACAGTGCCACTCCTCCTGGTCTTGAGTGAGGAGTCTCGCTTCTTCTGCCTCTCCCAGCAGTTCTACTAAAGTTTCTGCCCCCTCCTCCCTCACTTGCCTGCTGCACTAACTTCTCACGGAGAAGGGCTGCACGCTCGGTCGAGTGGAGCATTTACGCCTGGGTCTTAAAATTGGCTCTCACATTGCAACAGTCGCACATTGTCTGCCACCACAAAATGAAGTGATTCGACACTCATAGACTTGAATGCTTGTAGGACACAAGGTGAACTTCTCCCCTGGGTTAAAGCTGCTTCTGATATTTACTGTTTTTAGCTGTGTTCTAATAATATTTAATCCACATGCATCTGCATTGTTCATAAGTCCTCACATGAATTCTAATAAATGTGGATTGGTCCTGTTTGTGTGTCTGTCTGTGTGTGTGTGAGTGTGTGTGTATGTTTGTGTGCTTGTGTGCATGCCAGCCAAAGCTTGTGGACTTTTTTGGGTGATCACACAGTATTTGTGATTATGATTTAGAACAAATGACTATTTCTGTCATCATGTAAAGACCTTGTATCTCCAAATGGCATTTTTTCCTTTTTTGAGTTTATATAATTGGTTCTGAAAACATTACATGTTACGCAATCATTTTTCAACTCAGAGAGGAGCTTTTCATCCCTCAGTTAAAAATAAAACATATAACTCACTTAATTTGTAGTTACAAGGTCCTCACTTAACAGTCACTATGCATATACTGCTTGTCTGATATATATTATATACTGTATATTTTGGGGGACTGTGGTTATGGTATTTTTAATGGAAATCCTCTGATTTGTATGGAAGTGAAAATAATTTCTGCAAACAGCACACATTTATACTGTATTTCTACATCACATTTAAGATCACCTTCAAAAATAAGTAACCACTAATATTAACCAACATGCTATACTAACGAATATAACCCTAGCTTGCCTTTGGCCCATAACCCTGTCTTGATGTGAAACCTAATGTGTAACATGCTGTATGTCCTCCTCTGCTGTTTTTATCTCTTCATCCTCTTTCTCACAGGCATATGGCGCACATAACTGGCTCATCTCTTCTCTCTCCCATTCAGCTGCCTGTGTTGCACCCATGGACCCAAAATGTCCCTCTTTGTATTCACCAATTAACACGTGCTTTGTATTTTGTTTGAACAACCTAACTTACTGCATGGAATCTCATATATATTTGTATATATCTCATGTTTTCTCCCCCCCCTTTTACCCTCCTCTCCTCCTATTGTCCTCTGTCCTCATCACACTCTCTCTCTCTCTCTCTCTCTCTCTGTATCTCCTCTTCCTGTGTGGCTCAGTCATTGCTTGTCCCAGGCAAAAGTCCCAGTAAATATGGACGTCGAGGCAGTGCCATAGGGATAGGAACAGTAGAAGAGGTTCATGTCTAATTCTAACTACTCTCTAACTCTTCGCTTCTCCTCTTTGCTCCTTTTTATTGTCTGCTTGGCTCCACTGTATCGTGCCCAAACACTTTTCTCTGTACATTTCAGCACTCTGTATAGTGTGCATTGTGTGTTACAGACAGAATACATTGTACAAATTGATCTCTCATTTTCGGATTTGTCAATTCCAATCTTTGGTAATTTACATACACTACTGTCTAGAAAGCATTCAAATAATTAATCATCACAAATCATTCACATATTAAGAGATAAGCAGCTATGAATGTGGCACGTAGACAGTAAAAGTTATATTTGAAAGAGTCACCCTCGGCTCTTTACTGACTCTTTTCTTCTGTTCTTCCTGTCCTATCTGCTTTACTGTGCCTTCTGTAGTCTCTTATGACAATCCTGTATTTTAATTCCAGTATGCTTAATTCTCTATTTGTTTAAAAATGATGAATATTAATGATTTAATGACCCCCTTACAGAAAAATTATTTTTAAAAATCCTCCTCCTGCTCTTTGAAGCCACATTGAATAAAGGGCTTTTTCAAGTTCTTATTTTGAGAGCTTTAAAAGGGAGATTGAATGAACAAAGCAGTCGCTGAGAAAGCATATTTAGTGGTAGGCCCTGGAGCCTTTAAATCCATCTTTCATCTCCCGCCTTAGTGTGCTCTGCTCTGGCTGAAAGACTGGCACCGGGGCTTGACATTAAGCTGCTAAGTGCATATTTTAAGTTTTTTTTCATCACTGTAACAACTCAAAGGGAGCAATGTTACTGTTCTGCCTTATAATTCAGTTTTGAATGCAGTAAAATGGCATTTGAGAGGTTATGTCAAAATAACCATTATCTCCCCTCAGTAGTAAATAAACTGATTGATAAGCTCTTTAGATTAACTTAATATTACTCAAAGATATTTAAGGTATTAGAAGTGTTTTGACTCTGACACTGACTGCCTGTCCTCTCTCCCTGGCAGTCTTTGATAATCCCGGGGAAAAGCCCGACTAGGAAAAAGTCTGGTCCTTTCAGCTCCAGGAGAAGCAGTGCCATTGGTATTGAAAACATTCAAGAAGTCCAGGAGAAGAGGTGACAAAAGACATATTACTGCTGTATTTATCTTTGTTTCTACCCATACACCATTTTCTTATTTTCTCCTGTGCTATCTTTTGAATCTAACGCCTTGTAATCATAATTATTTACCACCTTTTACTTGTTACTGATGCATGCATATTTTATTGATTTTGTCTATGTTGCGCCCTATTAGCTTTTCATGATATTTTGTACCACATGTCTAATGCAACAGTAGAGAGAACTCGCCAAATACCCAGAAGACCCCTGACAGTGGTCACGTGTCTCAAGATCCCAAATCTGACAACTCATCCAATCAGAGCTCCCCTGAAGTGCTCACAACCACAAAGAACAGGTGTGTATAATGGATATATTGATCATACGTTTCTTTGCGTTATCGCTGGGCAATCCTCAGCTGCGGCAGCATGTTGAATGACTGTGTCCTATACATAAGATAAAATCAGGGTTGGCTGTGCTGGAGAGTGGTTAACCCAGGGTGTAGTTCTTATCTCGGTGGCAGGGCCCCATCCATCCCCGAGGGTCAAGACCTCTCGCGCTCCTCCTCCAATGCTAGCAGCTTCGCCAGTGTGGTGGAGGAGAACGAGACAGAGGCCACAGAGGACTATGACACCGGCATGGTGAGTGCTATATTCAATATGTGTTCTTGTAGGTTATCGGTTTGTCTAATATCTAATATACACCGTGTATCTGCAGGAGAGTCTGTCATCTGCCGGGACACCACACAAACGAGATTCCTTCACCTACAACACCTGGATGGAGGACAGCATCAGCAGCACTAGTACCACCAGTCGTGGTAACTCCCCAGGTGAGAGAGGTTGGGTGTTTGGAGAAGCATGTCCAGCATATTAAGTTTGTTTAAAAAAAAAAAAAAAAAAAGCTCTTTTTTTATATTTATTGATTTAATTATTCACTTTATCATTTTCGGGAACACTTCATAATAAGGGTAGAAAACACGGATGCTTACTGATTCACTGATGCATAACTAATACATGCAGTGACTCATGATGATTAATGCATGAGTTAATGCAGGATGTATCATTAATTCCTTTTGCTCTCCAGTCAACGATAATTAAGTCACTATGAGTTTATGTGATTAGTTAACGCTTAATGGATTATCAATAAATGGATGTTATCTCACATGTCCATAGTCCTCCTTGAAGGGTCATCATGGAATGAAATGGAGATTATTCTGGAGATATATGGACATTTTCCTCATGCACTAAAGAAACAGAAACAGTGATCGAAAGAGTACTTTTAACAGTATTCCTGTTGTTCTACTAACATGATTTAATATCTTACCTCACCAATGAGGAAATACACAGGCTATAGCATGTTTGAATGGCTTCAATTTCTATCTTTGAGAATGCACACACAGCAAGATGCAGATCAAAATTAAAACACATATCATCACTCTTAGTGAACACAAAACCTTTTACGAAAGACCAAAAAATACACATTAAATAATATTACAACCATCTTTTCAGAATATTCTTTATCAAGTACAATTTTTCATCTTAAACCATAAATGGGTAAAAACATTGAATATACATTTTTCAATATAAAGCAACAAATTATGTGTTCTCTCTACCTGATTTTTATATTCAAATCTATGATGTGATGGACATATATTACTATGATATTTGAGGCTTAATATACTGTTACACTCAATCTTCAGGACCTGGTAAGCCAGAGCGAGGGAAGGGGACAGATATCCGTATCAAACTGGAACGACCACATGATCATCAGTCCTCATCGGTGAGTCAACGTCATCCTGGACTACACTGAATTTCTTACTTCTCAGTTATGAGCTACCTTTCAATCACCTTTGTTGCTCCGCATGATTTCCTTCTTTGGATTTTTTTAAACTGCTTTTCGTGTGTTGATGCTGATGGTTTTTTTTTTATTGCTGTTTGTGCATCTCTGTGTGCAGAACTGTTAGCTCCATCCACCTGGTTGTATCCTGAATCTCCATCTTCAGGTTAGACTTTCCTCTGTACTCTTTTGTCATATCTCAGTCCACAGATTTCAACTTTGGACCAGATATAGTGTATATACACAAATTAAATTGTGCTTATGCTTGTGTATTGTATATGTACTTTATATTCAGGTGTTTTCTGTGTAACTGCTTGTCAAAGTAACATAGCAATTAACAAAACAAAAGCATATAGATGCAAATAATTGTTTTAGTTACGAATGTGACTGATAATATACATATAGCTCCTTTTAAATGTTTTACATCTCTCTTATCCCCAAAGCATTCCCATAAGTCACAATCCCTCTGGGAGATGAGACAAGTGCAGGCGTTCGCCATGACCAATGATGAGAAGGAGGAAGAAAAGGAAGATGAGAAAGAAGACAAAAAGCAGGTGGAGCCTGGCCAGTCTGCTGCTCAGTGAGGGCCAGAGTGCAGCTTATCCAGAAACCTGGGGGACACTGGAGAGGATGACGCACAAAGAGGGGCCAGCTTTTGCACAGTGTTGTTTCCTTCCACTCTTTTCTTTGCCTGTCCACACATCTGTTGCCTAGTTGTATATTTTTTGTTTTTTTTACCACACCTATTGTTTCAAAAGTGCATATTTTTATCTACAGATGTGCTTGTAAGAGATACAACTTTGGTTTAGTTTGTCTTGTTGAAGCCCAGGTCTGCTGGCTATTCAGGGTAAAGACAGTACAACTGAGCTCTTTGAAGAGATTGTGAGAAAGACTTTTTGCTGGAACAAAGAAAAGATAACTGGAGGTTTTACCAAATCAAAGGTTTTGGCTCAATAAAGATCTCTAATGTATGAATAATACCAAATATTCATTAAAGATGGCTATTTTCTGACAAAACATCTAATGTGATATAGAAATTTTCTGTTGGATGTAGTCAAATGTGATTATTTTCTGGGTTAAATCCAAATAGACAGACTGTATAGCTGCAGCAAAACAATTGGATACTTTCCTTTTATCACCCAAATCCCCACAAGATAAGATTACAAACTCAACACCACAGGTCACTGTGAAAAGAGCAATGCATTGTAGATAACATGAAATGGCCTTAAAACTTAAACATGCAATTTCTTTGTCCCTGAGACTTATTTTACCTAATTTTTGACTCACATGTTCTGCAGCCAATAATGGGATTGCAATATTAGATCAAACGTAAAACTAATATATTCAGAATAATTTCTAAGCATACTAGTTTTTCTTAAAAAATGGTTGTGCAATGCAGTTATACTTCAGCACTGTCTGTATAGTCTGATAATGTATGGATATACCCATCAATGACTGATTTAACTGCTTTGTCTGTCTTGTCTGTCGTTGAGGATACCAGTCTCTTGCTTTTTCCTCTCTAATGTATGTTTTTATTTATTGATTTGTTTCCTGTTAAAGTGGCATTTATGGTATACATCTGTTATACTGTATCTTTTTGGTGACTACATTCAGCATCCTGTCATATGATCATACTGTATATGTTGCTTTGGAGTAAATTATAATGTTGTCATCTGTAAAGCTCTATTTCAAGGGTGAGATCTCTTCAGTGCAGTAAACATGCAATGCAATTATAATAAAATAGTGAATATTTATTTGCTTTTAACGCGAGAAAAAAAACTCAATATACAACTACTGATTTTGTAAATAGATGTTTAGTTGGAGTACATAGTGTATAATACTAGCCTTTGATTTAAATGGGACAGCTTGAAATTACTGCCAAGCCAACAATTTATTGTTGTTTTATTTTTCGTACCCTTAAAAATATTAATTTGAGGGTTTTGTAGAAGAAAATTATTTTAAAAGCTATTCAGACTGTTCTGTAAAAGGGAAAAGTAGATCCTGCTGATCATTTCAGTTGCCTTATCATCACAAAATGATGTAAGTATGGATAGTAAAGCAAATAGTTAATAGCCAGCAGGATTTACAATGAAATGAATGTTTGGTTGTTGTTGTTGTTGTTGTTTTTATTGTAAATAAATGCCCTGAGAACTTTACAGTCTGTTGCACACATACTCTCTTGCTTCATGCTTCATGTCACTCAATGAAATCCAATTCTCTGACTTTTAATTGTTCTCAAAATTCTGTTGTTGTAGACAAATACAGTATTATGAGTGCCACATAGTGAAAATCCCCTGCTGTGAAATGTCTACAAACTGCAGATGTTCCACTTCCCGTCGTCTTAATGAAAGCTAGGAGAGAAAACCCCATGAATAAATGATCTGATGTGGCTGCCCACAAGCATGTAAAACTAGAGCAATCTAAAAGTGGAGGCTTCCCTGGTTATACAACTGTGTCACATGGAAGAAAGCAACATTTTCAGTTTTAATGAGTCAAACGGAAATAAAACTGAATCATGATTGAAATGGGCAGTAAAAAATGTATCTGCTCACAAATGGGCCGATTGTAACACATTCATAGGTTTAGAAATACGCAATTTTAATATGGTTAACAACACAAAGAACATACAATTGAAATTCTGCTCTGCCCTGAATGCACTAGACTTAATGCTAATAAGTGCCAGAAAATATGCAAAAAAATTCATACTGTAAGTAAAGTAAGAAAGGTCAGTCTGTGAAGTGAAGGTCAGTTTTGTGCATATAAAGCAGCAGTAGCTTCCTGTTCTGTAAGGCACAGGCCTTTGCACCCCTGGGCCATGCTCTGTTTTTATTAGGCTACCAGCAGATGTTTGAAATACAGTAAAAAAAATAAACCAGAGCATGTTAACAAATATACTACTAATACTGGTACCACAGATAACAACTACAATTTGGGAATTTGAGTAGTATCAAATATGAGATTGAATTCTTCTTCTTTCCGTTTACAGCTACAGTTATTTATGCCACACAGAATTAGTGTCAGCTGTTCACACTTCACATTCTTCTTTACTCATCTTGTTAATACACGTCATGTGACCCCATTAGGAAGTTCCTGTCTGACTTTTTGCTGATGTAAGATAAATACTGATGAACTCGTGCATGTGGTCTGCAGTGCTGGTAGTAACTGACAACATGTGATCGAGATACAAAAACTAAGTAACTATATTCAGCCCAGATATCCTCTGTGGTCTATAGATCTTCACAGGGGAATGGGGTAAATCTTATGTTATTCCATTGCGCAGCTGATTTGAGTTTAGAGCAACCAAACACAGACACACAGGAGAAAAATGGATAAATAACTACAGAAGACATTGAGTCAAAACCTCACCTGAATGAGACTAATGGTCTAATTCACTTACCATTGCTACTTTGATTGTTAGTGCCCCCCAGTGGAGTCACTTAAATTCTAATTAAATAATTTTTGAATTTTTTAAGATTTTATTTCAAAGAATAATTAAATAATAGTAAACACATACACAGGTTATTATTATTCTTCTTATTATTATTCTTATTCTTATTCTTCTTTTATTATTATTATTATTATTATTATTATCTAAAGGAAAATTGGTTCTCAGAGGTTTTAAGTAGTCGCTACGGCGGAACCTTCTGTCCGCTCTGAGAAACAGAAAGCGCCCTAAACTTGTGTCGCACGGACCGGATGTGGTGTTTTGGAGTCACATTGAAGACCAAAACCCCGGTCACCGCTGCAGAAGGTAACTTAACACTGTCCGTGAAGTATGTAAATGAATTGCAGTCGAGTTTGTCGGATAGGTGATGGCAGAAACATTGTTTTTAGTGACACTATCGCGACCTTCATCTCCGAGGTGGAGCTACGTTGCTAGCTAGCATTAGCTGCACCCGGAGCACTGCTCTACGCGTGGACACCGGCTGACTGAAGAGATACCTTGAAGTTTGGTCATATTGTGTTAATTAATCATCATTTTTACATTCGCTTGGTAACGTCAGTGCATTTAATATTCTTTCCATCACCAGAAATCCTCGCATTTGAGAAGCTGGATCCAGATTTTGTTACATGTTATTGTATATAAACCAGCTATGACTTACACACTGTGCTTTGCTCATGCCCACAGGACAAGTGAGCAGCAGTCAGCTCATTCCTGATGACTTTATGTGGATGATCACTCACAATGTTTACTTCAAAGCTTGTCCCTCGTCTCAGTCTATTACGTAGAGCATCTTGTAAGTATGAACCAATATGTCTTCCAATCTGCATGTAGCTATGTAATCTCATCCTAAACTGTATTTCCTGTGTGAGTATTGACATCATTTTTTTTTTTTAGCTTAATGACCAGGTGCACTTCAAGCTCAGGGAGAAATTTTGAATGGACGTGTACAACCGGTCCTTCCTGCTTACTGCTGTTCACTAAACCAGAAACTGAGAAACTATTCAACAGCAGCAGACAACGCATCTCCTCCTCGATGGGTCCAACTTGAGCCAGAACTGGATGAGGCTCTTGTGCCGCGTAAATTGTCAGTAAGTCCTCTGGAGAGCTGGCTCTCCCTGCGCTACTCCCTCCCTCCCCTGCTCGAGTCCGCTCTGCCGCAGGAGGACGTTGGGCTGCTGGAAGAGAAGGTGCTGCCACCCGTCTCTGTCCCTGTTATGGAGGATGGGGAGGGTTCAGTAACACCCCTCAGCTGTAAGAATGTTCTGAAGACCCGACGGCGGATGATAAACCGGCATAAATACAGGAAGCTGCAAAAACGGACTAAATTCTTGAAGAGGAGAGTGATGGAGGGAAGGGGGAAAAGGAAGCAGGTGAGAGTTTCCTCTTTAAAAAAGGATTCTGAAGACAGATTATTTCGTACTGTTCTGAAACATTTTTCCTTTTGGTTTCTACAAATTAATACTAATTTGAATTTCATAAGAAAATAATGAAGAATTTAACTAACTATGTATATATGTGTATAACTGGCAGCAAAGTCTTGACTATACTTGAGAGAAGAAGAATTTTTCTAAACTAGCTGAATATGAATTTACTTTACACATTGAGTTTGCCCTTTTGCAGAGGCGATTCGAAGAGGATCTGAAGAGGATTTGGAGACGAGCTGGACTGAAGAAATCTCCAGAGGGATGGACTACACCTAAGCTCTTCATTAAGCAACATGGAAACAAAAGCAAATGAGAAACACTGACGTTGACTTTGAGTTTGTGTCACTTCCCTCACACTGGACGGCTCTGCCCATCAGCCCACTTTCTGTGTTTTGCAGCTTTATTGAAACATGTTTCAGTAATGAGGACATATTCCTTATGTGTACATTTATTTTTAACCAAGTGTACATAATCTAATAAAGATCTTTCTCTGTCAAGCCCAAGGCATCGTGTGCTGTTACTTTCTGTTAGCCTTATTTTAGGCTGACAGTAGAATTATATGAGAGCTATAACTTACATATCCAGTTCTTACTGTGGATGGCAGTATTGTGCAAAGAAAAAATGCATTCACCCAGGAATTTAAGTTTTTTTGTTTACTTTATTACCCTCATAGCACAACTAAAACAGAAATAAGAGCACCAAATTCTGAGTTGACTGTGACTATTTTAAAATATAATTAGTTTATATAATAGAATTTTGTATAACATGTTTTCCCCCTATGCAAGATGACAACCACTCCACCTTTGGTAAGGTGCTGGAAGCTTAATGTGTCCAAACTAGTGAAGATTTCCGCACACTTAGATCCATGCAATATAATATATATCACTTTATTTAGGAAGCTTTCACTCTATCTCACCAGATAGACCGAAAGCAAGCTTTTATCTGTGGAAATCTTCACCTACAGTAAAGATTTATGTTTTTCTTCTAAGATCAAAAAGAGGAAAATGAGTAAGGGCCTTCTAGTATCCCTTCCTAATGTTAAAGTTTTCCAAGAACTACATTTACTTTAACCATATAAACTACTGATATCTTCAGATATATAACTGAAAATCATTTCTTTCTCAATAAGGACTGATATAAGCCTTATTTAACCCTCTGCATTTAGAAGCATAACTAATGTAAACAGATCTATAACAATCGCAAGACTCTGGTTTTGTTGTGTCAGTGTATTATAAGATTTCTTCATTTCAGACTGATACCAAGTTTCCTCTGTTCTGAATTTCGGGCCTGTTTACATTTAGTAGTGCATTTTTCATATGTGTGTAGTATGTTTTAGTTTTAGAAAACCTTTCAACGTCTTATTAGACTTTTACTACACATGTTTTCGTGAAGACTGCAGCACAGAAGTACAGCAGTGTTGGGTTTCATCGGCTGGCGGAGGCGGAGCGTGTGGAGGCTCCAGCCTGCAGGAGTACAACAAAATCCAGCTGAGCCGCCGCTGCTCGCTCAACTTTAAGCCTTCTTTTGTTTTATCAATTGATGCGCACTCGACCTCTGCCAGGCTGCTTTACCTCCGCTGCCAGCACTGTGAAAGAAGATGCACCTCGATATGACTCTCCTTCAGAGTAAGTTATTGAGTTGTCTTTGCTTTTAAAAAGAGAGAAATAACTTGAAGAAACTTTTTTGTTGTTGTTGCCATAATTGGATCCAGGTTAGAATTCGGGAACAAAAGCCGAAAGCGTCTCAGGTCTGCTCTGTTGCGCTGTAGATATCCTTTAAAATACATATTTAATATGCTTTATTCAAAAATGTCTTTGCCATAATATTGACCCAACAACAACCTGCATTATTAATGGTGTTAGCTGCGGCAGAAAAACAACTTTAAAACGACTTAACATGAAATGTAATTGATGTATTTATTTTTTTGTTAACACAGAAACAATCCGCATAATCATTATAAACTAGTTTTAGTTGCGGGACGTCTAGAATTTAACTAAAGTTGTCCATTTTCAGCCTTTTGTTTGGTATTTATTTATTTATTTATATACACTATTGTTAACCAAACAGCCTCCGTATTTTTTTAAAATTTTTTTTTTTTGGCCCCTACTTTATTATTTTTTTAGTAAAAACCCAACTGTATGTGTTATCCATCTATTCTCATCTCATCTTAAATTATATTTTCTGTGATGTTGCGCAAGATGACAAATTTCTTTTTCCCCTTTTATTTTCAAAACATTCTGAGTTCTGAAAGTAAAAAAAAAAAAAAAAAAGAAAAGAAGAGGAAGGG